ATGTTACCCAACAACAACCTGGCAGGGGTCTCCTAGGCTCTCATTTAAAGAGCTCTTCCTTTGTTTTTAAATCTACGTCTAGGCCAATAATTTCAGAGCTGGACCTTTAATGTCATTTTGTCCACCTCTATGAGTCAGAATCGACTCGACGGCGACGGTTTTTTGTTTGTTTGTCTGAAATGATTTTCCATACCTGCAGTTTTTTGAGCTCCCGAACCTCTTAATTGGTTGTCTAACCCCAGTCCTTCCAGCTGCACATTGGCCTCTACTGTTTTGGCTCTATATATTATGAGAAATGTCACACAAAAGTCACAGATTAGATTTGAACCTGAGGATTCCAACTGATTCCGAAACACAGGGTGACCCGTTTACCAGTGACGCTTCGAGAAGCGCGGTAGCTCGATTCCGGCGAATTAGAAAGCACCTATGCAGAATACGCACGCGCTTTAGAGTTGAGGGCACGGCGAAGCCTAAGAAGGCGTGGCTCCTGACCGAATCCAAGATGGCCTCCAGTTCTGCCCATCCTAGTTCCTGGGGGAGAGGCTGAAAGACTCAGAACGCCATTGGTGGAATTGCCCACCGCTCATCCCCGCCCCCTCACGGAGGGGGCGGAAACGAAAGCTTCCCAACTTCCGGTTCCGGCAGCACCGGGATCCCGGTCGAGATGGAAGATGCGACCGGAGGTCAGCAGTCTCCGGGAACGGAGGGTGGCGTGGGAGCTGCGGCCTAGGGGTCCGGGCTTGCAGTTCGCCTCAGACGCGGCGGAACCGTCTGGATCGGAGAAGGTAAGAAAACACGGATCGGCTTGGAGGCGTGAGGGTTGGAGTCTCTGAGGACCCGCACTGGTCAAGAAGTGAGCGGTGTCTGCGGTGCCCAGCTGCAGTGCCGTGGGAGCCGCCACATAGTTTTGAGATTGAAGGATGAACCCAGTGAAGGCATCTCTTCCTGTCGGGGGAGCATGAGGTTTGTTGACAGCGCAAGAAGCATGGCGAAAGGCGGAGTGCCCAAGGACCCAGAGGCAGCTGCGCGGGGGCCTGGCCCAAAGCTGCATAAAGGGGGTGTTACGTGGAACATGTGGAGACGATTGTCATGTGGTGTCTGTGATGAGGGACCACGTGGCTAACTGTGGAAGACCAAAGGAAGGCTGGGTGGGAATCTCACCATGTCCGAGGGAGGAGATTATCTTGAAGGAGATGTGGAGGCATCACCAGGGACCTTACGTAGGGCAATGTACATATAATTCACTAGGACAGGTGGGCAAGCCTGTACATGTATTCACATTTCATGTGGGAGATAGCTCCCAGGATACAGAGCCTTGATTCAGATGCAGTGGGGAGAACAGAGGGAGGAGAAGATGCTGGTCTCTGTTCTCCTTGTTCCCAGTTGAGAAGTGAAGACCACGCCCCGTGGGTGTTTTGTTTGGTGTGGGTGGTCAGCTGAAAGAATTGGAATGGGTCAAGTGATCATCATTGGGCCCAGTTCTGGTGACAAGTCAGGATGGAGTCAGAGGGCTCCTAACCAAGTCACAATGGTCCTGGACTGGTGGAGGTGAGCAGAATAATCATTATACTTACAATCTTTAATACTTAGAGCAATGCTTCCCAAACTTTGACAGATAATATAAATCACTTGGGGAATCTTGTTAAAATGCTGGTTCTTATTCAGCAGGTCTAGGGTGGGGCCTGAGATTCTGTATTTCCAAGAAGCTCCCAGGTGATATGCATGCGGTTCCTCTGTAGACCTAGACCACTCAGAGTAGCAAGGATTTAGAGCAGCATGTCCAGTAGAACTTTCTGCAATGACAGAAACATTTTACTGTTGCCAAAATGCTCTCACAAATGAGCTGCATCATAACTGTTATACAGCTCTGGCAGGCTTTATTAGCCCCATTTCACAGATGCGGAGACTGAGTTTCAATGAAGTGACTTGGTTACAGTCCCACCCTTGTTAATCTCCTGACTACTAGCGTTCTTACCATTGAATGACTTTGTCTTTTAGGTCACAGTGCCCTCTCCCAAGTCAGAATCTTATCTTAGAACCTGGTGTGATTTTTCTGGTGCAGGGAGTGTGGAAGTGGAGAGGAGATGTGCATACCTGATCAGTTTGTCCCTTTCCAGCAGTGGGGTTGGTAGTGGGGACTCTGTGACATCTCGCTTGGTGACTTCAAGACAAAATGCTCACTAATCCTGGTTATCAGCTGGGTCAGCACAGGAAGCACTTCAGCCTTTGTGCCTGCGCAGTGTTAAAAGGTGGGAGAAAATCTGGAATTAGAGCCCCGCAGGCATAAAGAAATTGGGCTGACCGAGTTGGAAGAAGGGAAGGCTGGAGGAAGCTGGCATACAGGTATCAGCAAAGAGGATTTTCCAAAGGGTAAAAAACAAGGGGAACTGGTTTGATATTTCAGCAGGAAGTTTGGAGATTGTATAACAAAGAACAGGCCCACCTTTTAGGAGCTGCCCCCATCTGTTGGAGGGGTACAGGAGGTGACGGCGGTGCCTTCTCCCCCTTCGATTATAGTGGCTTATCCTTCTGAGGCATAACCCTTAGTGGCTTCTCTTGTCACTGTGGTGATGGTAGGAGTCACCTGCCTCAGAGTGTCCCCCCCTTCTTTCTGGGAATTTAAAATAGACTGGTACATGTGAGGGATGAGGAACGGGGGAATGGGGTATCGGGTCTTCCTCAGTATTTCTCATCAAGAGGTGCTGGTATGCTGTGGTTCAGTTTGACAAGTTGAGAAGGCGCACGTGAAACCAGGTCCTGGGATGGAATCCTTTGCTAGTCTGTGTGACTCTCAGTTGCTCTGCCCCTCTTCCCTGCTTAGCCCGGCAGGAGGCTGTCCTGTCACAACAGTGCCTGCTTGGCCACTCAGCTTGGCCCCTCCACAAGCACACTGGGAAAGCAAAGGCAGCTCTAGGTTTCTCCAGAACAAAGCTAAGAGAAGTCCCTGGGTGTCTGCATGGCCATGAGCTGATGCTTAACCCTTGGGTGATAGGTAGTCATGAGGTGATCAGTTCTGCCTCCCACAGGTGGGAGTGACTTGGCTTCAGACTGAAGAGAACGATTTGTTTTGGAACTCATCAGCCCCCATGGGGCTGCAGACATGTGGACTAGAGGAGAAATCTTGGCCCACGTCCCGCCTCCACCACTGACCTGCTGCGTGGCCTCGAGCCTGTTGCTTTTAACCTCTCACCCTCCGGTTCCTCATTTATCAAAAGTGTCTAACTGTACGTCCACAGGTTAGTTGTAAGGATTACGTGCGTTAGTAGGTATTCAGTAAATCCGAGCGTCTCTCTATCCCTCCTCACCTCTCAGTGGTATGGGAAACATGACCCTGGGACCCTGGATAACAAACAACCTAGGACAGGGGCGACAGTGAGCGCCGTCTCTTGAAAGGCCTCAGAGGAGAGGGTTTGCCCTGCTGGACCTGGTGGGTGTCCCAGGCTGAAGCTGGGGAGGAAGGGCCACCTTTGCCCCCAGCAGGTGGCACATCAGTATTCCAGGGGTTGGTTCTCCTCCTGACTGCAGAACCTCGCCTCTAGCTCATTTTCCACACCCTAGATGCCCCATTCTGGCCAACCTAGGTAACTTCTGTCTTCGCAGTTCCAAGCGCTTATTCTCTCCCTTTCGCTGTCTATATGTATTTCTCCTTTCTTTCACATTGCTTTATCCTTCTCCAGGAAGCCTGTCTTGGTTACCTGCACCTGACCCTGCCTCACCTTGAGGAAAACCGCAGCTGTCATGTACTCAGTTTACACTGCAGGTAGCCCATACTTCTATGAAGATGATGTAGTTGAGCACAGGGATTTCTGGAAAGCCAACCTTGCTTCTCCCACTGACTTCTATGGTAAACCAAGAGCAGTTCCCATAGAACAGAAGCCACCTGAAACCTGAGTTGGGAACTTTGGTTGGAGAAGGTGGTTGAGGACAGGCTCTGATTAAGCACTTGGCATGAGGTTTGCCACAGCACCAGCCCTGGGACTGCTTGTGCAGAACATTGCAACTCTCTAGAGTCGTCCCTGGGATGTGGCCACTGCCTTTCCCAGCCCCTAGGGATTGTTCTCAAAGCCTGGGGAGCTCTTGACTTCCCACCTCCTGGAATTTAACTTCCCACTTTCCCCCAGCGGGAAATTTCTATTATTCTACAGAACAGAGGTGGGCTACCCTGGAGTACATTACCACAAAGTAAGTGTCCAATATAGGATGTCCTCTGGTTTGACATATCCTATGTTGGAAGCTCCTGGTTTTAAACAGGTATTACATTACTGAGCTTATTAGCTTTGTTTGAAATTTTAAGTAATGGACATGAGGGCCCCATGTACCTTAATTAGCTGTAGCTTCCTTATTTCTGTATCTTAGCATCCATTCCCTAGAGGGATACTGTGTCTCAAAGGCAGAGTCTGTCTTCTTCGTCACTTGGATCTCCGTTATCTAGGACTGAGGTGGTTTATATGCTTCGAGATGAAAGGGGTCAAACATGTCCTTTACCCTGTAGTTCTCAAGACTTCACAGGGAAACAAAGTACTTAACTCTCAGGTGGTTCTTTTCTGTCTTTCTCTGGTATGAGTTATCTAATAACCAAAGAGGACTCTGACCTTTGGCCTGTTCTTAACTTTCTAACTCCTTTCATCGGAGGGAGGGAAGGTGACAGGGGGTGCTCTGTGATGTGAAAGCCCCACCTACCCTCTGCCCCACAGTTTCTCCTCATGCAGACTGGAGAAAATATGAGCAGTATAGCTAGTGTGGGTCAGGGGAGCTCTAAGGGGCCGGCGCTGGAAACCAGAAATAAAGTGGTATGAATCAAATGGTAAATGGTGGTAAGAGAGGCACCTGCTGAGGATGAAGGGCCACAGGTCGTGCCTCCTCAGTGGGCTCCTAAATGTCACTTGGTGACATCCCAGAAGCCCACCTAAAGGCCCTGCATCCTGCCAGGTGGTCGGTTTGCCCACAGCATCCTGAGATCTTCCTGGGTGAACCAGAGGAGAATGGTCCTTGCCCAGGGCCGCGCCATCAGGGCCCAGGCAGAGGCAGGAAGTCGAGGATAGCCAGTCCTATAGGATGGGCATAGTGGAGCCAGGGAGTCATCGAGGTAAGGAAGAATTTCTAGAGGAAGGGACCTGAGTTGGGAAGAACTGGTCAAGGAGAGAGAAGGGGTAGCACTCTAATCTTGGACAGAAGACTTGGGCGGGGTTTGGTAGAGCCAGGTTGTTGAAGTCTAAGCTATGGGGAAGTGAGTGTCCCAGGAGATGAATTCTTAGACAGGAGGGGAAAGGCAAAGTCCTGACCTCTTCCTCCTCACATCCTTCTACCTGCTCAAATCCCCTTGCTTTCAGGTACAATGGAGGACAAACGCAACATCCAGATCATTGAGTGGGAACACCTGGACAAGAAGAAGTTCTACGTATTTGGCGTGGCAATGACAATGATGATCCGTGTCAGCGTCTACCCATTCACCCTCATCCGCACCCGGTTGCAGGTTCAGAAGGGCAAGAGCCTCTACCATGGGACCTTTGACGCCTTCATCAAGATCCTGCGGGCAGATGGTGTGACTGGTCTCTACCGGGGGTTCCTGGTCAACACCTTCACGCTCATCTCTGGCCAGTGCTACGTCACCACTTACGAGCTCACTCGGAAGTTTGTAGCTGACTACAGCCAGAGCAACACAGTCAAATCGCTGGTGGCTGGTGGCTCAGCCTCCCTGGTGGCTCAGAGCATCACGGTGCCCATTGATGTGGTCTCCCAGCACCTGATGATGCAGCGCAAGGGTGAGAAAATGGGCCGCTTTCAGGTGCGCGGGAACCCAGAGGGACAAAGGGTGGTTGCTTTTGGCCAAACCAAGGACATCATCAGGCAGATCCTGCGGGCTGATGGGCTTCGAGGCTTCTACCGAGGCTATGTGGCTTCACTGCTTACGTACATCCCAAACAGTGCTGTCTGGTGGCCCTTCTATCACTTCTACGCAGGTAAGTAGGGTCCAGGAAAGTGATGCAGAGGGAGGGTTTACTCATGGGATGAGATGCTGTTGCTCTGTGCACGTTGGAGAAAAGGTGAGATTTAATGGAGGAACGGGAGAATGAGCCACTCGTTCAGCAAACTTTTATTGAGCCCTTATTTTGTGCCAAGAGGATTCAAAGATGAATAAGACATGGTTCTTGCCATCAAGGAGCTTGTGATAAAGTAGAGGGAATAAGACAAGTAAAATAGGTGACTATAAAGCATGCTAGAGTATGCTCTGGGGGCACTGGAATCAACTAGGGTTAGCAGAATTTTGGCCAAGAATTGGAAGGTGAGGAAGGACAAAACCCATGGGCTGTTTGGGATTTGAAGGTGAAATTGATGGATAATTTTAATAGTGAGCTTTCAAGTTGAATGTCTTTCCTCAAAATGATTAAATTTAAGATAAGCTATAACCTTGAACTTCTCCATTTCCTATAATGTATCTTTGTTCATAAGACGTTTTAAGTATTTCCCAGAAACGGAGTTACTGGGTCAATAGATAACGTTTTTGAGGGCCTCAATAAACATACTTCCAGATTTCCTTCTCAAAGGGCAGAACACATTGCCAAGAGCAGGGCCTGAGTGTGCCTGCCACCCTGCGACGTCCACAGCTTTGGTGACCAGCATTCTCTGCTACTGGCTCCTTACGCTGGCCAGCAGGCACTCTTCCCATCCACCTGGAGCTTTTCTGACCAGACTTTGTGATGACCTCCTAACCTTGTAATCATTTTGTTTCTGTGGCACTGTGCTTTTCCGGTTCTCCTCTTCTTTTTCTGATTATCCCTTCTTTTTTTTTTCCTGTCTAGGTCTGTTTCTTTCTTCTGTTAAACACAGTCTTTCATCTGGAGTATTTGGTAAAAATCCAGATTCTTGGACTCCACCCCTGATTCTTTGTATCAGACTTTCTGTGAGTCCTGGCAATCTTGTGTGTGTGTGTGTGTGTGTGTGAAATATGGTCCTGGCAATCTTAATGTTAAAAAACTCCCCAGGAAGTGTGAGCATTTTTTATGGAGGGTGTCTTTAGCCTTCTCTCCTTATTTGAATTCATTTACAGCTATAGCTGCACTTTTCTGATGTGTCCCAAATTGGAGCCCTGGTAGCATAGTGGTTAAGAGCTTGGCTGCTAACCAAAAAGTCGGCAGTTCGAATCTACCAGCCACTCCTTGGTAACCCTATGGGGGAGTTCTACTCTGTCCTATAGGATCCCTATGAGTTGGAATTGACTTAACGGCAGTGTGTTTAGTTTTGGTTTTATTCGCAGACTTGCCTGAGAGTCTCTGCGGACATTCTGACTGCTGGACCTTTCAATCTGGCTATATCTACTTACATGTAAAAATTGTGCTTAATTAACTGTCCTTCATTCCAAACCCATGCTCCTTTCTGACTTACTTTTCATCTGTCAGTGGCCTTGTTATTCTCTGAATCACTGAGGCTTAAAATTTTGGTGCTGGTCTACTCCCTCTTCCTTGTCCCTGCATCTAGTCCTGGTGACTCCAGACCGCCTCCCCAACTTTCTCTCCGTTTCTACTGCCTTCATTGGAAACCATGCCCCTGGTACCACCTTCCTGGGCTGCTGCCTCAGCCTTCCAACTGTTTTCTCCTAGTCTAAGCTCCCTTCCTTCCTGTCCACTGCACACATCCCTAATGGATTAACTTCCTACACCCTAGTTGTGATGTTCAGCAGTTCCCACAGCGTGCTGAGGAAAATCCAAACTCTTCAGCCTGGCTTTGACTTCCCTTTCCAGTGAAATCTCCTGCTGCTCCCCTGTGTATAGTCTAGGCTGCAGCCAGGCCAGATGACTCCCAGTTCCTCAACCATGTATCCTCTCTCCCACCTCTGTGCCTTCTTCATGCCATCCCTCTGCCTAGAATGCCTTCCAGGTCCACTTATCCCTGGGGAAATCATGACTCACCCTAAGTGCTCCTTGCTTCATCCTTTCCCATCCTCTCCATGTACTTAACCCAGAAGTAATCTTTCCCTTCTTTCCACCCTCATAACATTTTATTTGAGTCTTTCTTAGTGCAGTTCTAACATTTTGCCTTGATGTTTCCTGGGTGCCTTATCTCTTCTACAAGGAAAGGTCCTTGGAATGGGGAGGAAACTAACATTTATTGAGTGCCCCATGCTGAGACCTAGTATCTGTCTCATTATTTCATTGTCACCACAACCCTATGATATAGGTGTCCTCGAAGGATACCTTCCCTGACGTCCTAGTCTACATTTGATTCCTTTTTATATGTTCTAACAAAACCACATTACTTATCTCTCAGAACGCTCAGCTGAATTTGTAATGATATGTTGATTATTAAGTTAGTGGCTCTTTCCCCCAATAGACTCTGTGAGAACAGGGACCATGTCTGTTTTGGTCCACTGTTGTACCCCCCAACAGCCAGCTCAGGGTCTGGTGAATTGTAAGTGCTGAATAAATATTTGTTGAATGAGTAGGTTGGTTCTCCTCATTCCCTTGCTTAAAATCTGCCAGTGCTGCCTTATGGGCATTTAGAATGAAATCCAGTTCCTTTCCAGTGGTCTACACAGCTCTTCTTGATCTGGCCCCTGTCTGCTTCTCTAGCCCCATCTCTTGCCTCTCACCCCTGGCTCACTCTGATCCACCCTCACTGCCCTTCTCTCAGTTTCTGGAACACACCAGGCTGTTCTCACCTCAGGGCCTTTGCAGATAATGTTCTTTCTGCCTGGAACACACTTTCCCTGGCACTTTGTGTGGCTGGCTCCTTCTCACATGTCAGTCCTCAGCCTACATGTCACCTTTGTAGAGGCCTTCTTTAACCATTCTGTTGAAAACTCTGTTTTCTCTTTCAGCACCTTGTTCCCTTCATAGCATTTGTCATAATTTGCAATTATTTTACCTCCAACTCCCAGCCCCCTAATTAGGATATAAATTCCGTGAAGGCTTTTTCCTGTCCATTTCTCTGTTTTGTGTGCAGTGCTTATCACGGTGCCTGGCATCCAGTAAGCACTCAATAAATATTCATTTATATTACTTGCCCAAAGTCATTTAGCCAAGAGTCGACCTGGGTTGATCTTCTGGCTTACAGATAATAGGTACTCAATAAATATTTATTTGTTGAGTGAATAATGGAGAAGAAGCATGTGGGGCTCTTCCCGCTAGTCTCTTACCTTTGTTTTCTCATCCTGCCCCTAAGCCCCAGGAAAGTGGCATGTCTGCATCATTACAATTGGAAACTGGATCTGCTGCAGCTTGCAGTCCCGGGGACCGGTGCAGACAGGCCCAAGGGACTGGTGGTGCCAGTCCAGACACCACCTTCTAATGATTGCAGAATGCCCTCTTTTCAGGAGAAACAGGACACCCGTAAAGCAGAGCCACCAGTTCCGTTTGCTTCTGTCTGTGTACTGACCCTGAGGAAGAAAGTCACTAGAAACTGGGGGAGAGGTGGCTCTGCTGGGGCTTCAGGATTCCCGCCATGCCTGCTGGGACTTAGAAGCACTCACTTCTGCCCTGCCACCCCCTACCTCCCTGTTTCTGCAAGCCTTTAGTTGCCTAGCCACAAACTGCCACAGCTAAGAGCATGAGCAAAAAATTCTTAGAAGGTATTATGATGACTGAACTGCAGAGGGAAAAACTGAGAGGGAATCTTGGCAATGATGATCTATTTCACGTCCCATTCTCACTCAGTAAAAACCAGTGGTCTTGCAATGGCCTCAAGACCCCAAAGGACTTGCCTCTCAGGCCACATCTGCTGTTCCTGCTCTCACTCATTCTGCTGCAGGCAGACGGCTGCCGCTGGAGCACTTCAGGCGGGATCCTGCCTCAGGGCCTTTGCCTAGGATGTTACTTCTGCTTGGAAAGCTCTTCCTGCAGATCCGTTCAGATCTCCTTCAGGTTTTTGCTCAAATTTCACGTTTTTGGAGAGGCCTTCCATGACTACTGTTTAAAATGGCAACCCCATTCACTCGCTGCCCTGGGCACCCCTCTCTCTCTCTCCTGCTCTATTTTTTATCTATAACACACATCACTTTCTTTTTCTTTTTTTATTGTTCTTTAGGTGAAGGTTTCCAGAACAAATATTTTCTCATTGAACAGTCAGTACACATATTGTTTTATGACATTGGTTAACAACCCCACGAC